GCTACCTAAGGCATGGGAACAACATCACATCCAGCACTTCTGTAGCTCAGGCTTTGGCAGCAGCAATAAAAACAAAAGGGATCTGCTTTAAATGTGAAGAGACAGGACTGGAGAAATGAATGCCCAAAAAAGACCCTTCCTATGAAGGACTCCAATGACCCTAAGACAGTCTGCCCCCAGTCTTGCAAAGTTTTCCACACACACACAAAAAAAAGATTGTCTCCTCCATTATGATAAAGATGGCAAACAACTAGAGCCTTTAAACTTCAAACTTTAAAAGAGGGCATCCCTCAGCCCCAACTGTAAGAGAGAAAATTTCTTCCATAGAGGCTTTCTGAATGTCCAGCATCTCAGAGGGCTCCCATTTAAAAATAAGCACAAAAATGGATAGCAAGCCATGGAAATGCCCTGATGATACTGGGGAAGACAAGACCATTTTGAGACAAGAGATCCTCCAAGGTTGGCTGCAAATCCCTGGGTCCCAGCTTCTAGCCATAGGAGCTCCTCCCATAATTTATCATGCATTTATCACTAAACAGGTCTACAGATGGGAAGACGCTTTTGAAGCTACCGATCTCATACGCCCTCTAAAAGCTAACATAGCCACCAAGCTTCTAAAGTGAGGTGCTTTATAAGCCCTAGAGGTACAACCCAATCAGAAAGAAATTGCAGCAGAATAGATGATCATACCTATAAAAAACATTCTACAAAAAAAAACTATAAAAAAAAACCTCCAAATCACCCCCCCATTCTAAGGGCCACTGTTAAATTTAGCACTCCCTGCCTTGATTGGCTTTCAAAGGAGCCAGTCAGGGTTGAACACTGGCCTCTCACAAGGGAGAAACTTGAAGCCCTCACATACGTAGTAAAAAAGCATCTTTTACTACAACATATTTGTCCCCCAAAGCCCATAGAACACCCCTCTGTTCACTATAAAAGAGAGATCAGGGGATGGAGACTGCTGCAAGATTTAAGGGCAATTAATAAAACCATGGGAGTCCGGGGTTCTTCCCAGAGGGAGCTGCTCCATATCTCAGCCATACTTGCCAATGTCTCTTTATTGGATATAAACATCAAAGACTGTTTTTTTCTTCTATTCCTCTCCACCCTCAAGACCATGAACTCCTCACACTTTCAGTACCTCCCATTAACAATTCAGGGCTGGCCTTTCTACGTGAATGGACAGCTCTTCCTCAGGAACTGGCTAACACTCCCACCCTCTGCCAGGCTGTGGCCACTGCTCTAAAAACTTACTTAGACAAAGGACTCAGTATATATCATTACAAGGATATCAACCCGGTATGGGATGATTTTTCCACTTTCCCCTCCCAACTTAAAGACTGACCCTAACTGGCTTTGGCCCTGGCTCTCCCTGTCCGCAAGCCCCTCTTTGACCTCCCAAAAGGAAATAAAAGCCACACCTTTCCATGAACACTCTTTCCTGAAACAATCCAAGCTCTAAATTCTGTCAATGTGGCCCTAAAAGACATGGTCCTTGCCCATACAGCTTATCTTAAATTCCTCCCTACATTTGTAGAAGCCCTGTATCAGCCCCAGCACTCCACACCCTGGTGAGGGGAACACCTAGAATTCTATCTGAGGTGGGTACACTCACTACTAAATTAAAAATGCCAGGGATAGAGCTGTCCAGCATCTCAGAGGGCTCCCATTTAAAAATAACCTGGTATTTTGCCACGCCCCCCCTTTTTTCAAATCTCTCTGATATTCAGTGGCTTCTCAAAAATCTCTTCTTCTTTGCTATTAGCTTAATAGGATTTCCAGAACAAATTGGTAACCAGTACCCTTAAAAGAATGGGCTTCTGCCCCCCGACCCTGTTGTAGTAGTTTGCCTCCCCCCAAATATCTTTAAATAAAAGCCCATCACCAGTCCCCTATTATCCAATTCAAAGAGCTGGCCCATCACAGCCTCTGTCCAGCAAGCAGAGGAATTCCACTCACACACATAAACACACAAATGCCCACTTCCCTCACATCCCTCTTGCTCAACTATGGAGGATAATAAAAACATGCTCCTCCTGCGCATTCCTTATTACTACCGCAGCTTTACAAATGATGGGAAATAACCTGCAAGGCCTCAGATCCAATGCCCTATGACAAATTGATGTCACCCACATTCCCCAGTTTGGCAGACAAAAATATGTTTTTGTTACCATTGATACATACTTACATTTCATATGGGCTACAGCACAAATGGGAGAAAACTCAAAAAGGTTAATTCACCATATGTTCTTCATCTTTGTCATCAGGGGCATTCCTCAACAGATAAAAATTGACAATCATCCTGCCTTTATTAGCTCCCAATTAAAAACCTTCCGCTCGCAATGGGAAATTGCCCACCACACAGGGATTCCTCACAACCTCCTGGGCCGAGGGACAATAGAAAGAACACATCAGCCCTAAAAGTCCAACTTATAAAACAAAAAGCAAACATCTACCCCCATAACATGTAATTAATGATGGCTCTGAGTACCCTAAATATATTTAACATTGACGAGAGCTCAAAACACCCTTCCATCTCCCTTCCTTGGTACACACCAGGATTAACTCTTCCTATCCTAGTATGATAGCACTATCCCTTGGGTGGGATTTGGAAGGGAGTAGACCACTTCTTTACAACCAGAAGGAGTTTCTCTTGTATTTTTCCACAGGACCAGCCTAGACCTATTGGAGCCCTGCCAGAAATATCAGACACCACTCCACCAACTAAGAAGATGCCTTACCTCTTGCTGAAGGATCAAGGACAGAGGAGGCAGAGGAGACACTACCCCCGATGGTACAAGACTGTCTGGTGGGACATCCATGATCTGGTGGCCACTGTCGAGGCCATGTGCCGTCCACAGGATTCCCTTTCTTCTATTCTTACGGCTGTATTTATTAGACTTCATTCTAACCCTGCCACTGCCCAGCTTTTTTCTAATTCTTCTAATACTCACCGCTGGAGATTCTTTGCTAGGGAAGCCTACAACAGACACAACAAAAGCCTGGGAACCGAGGACTACCCACTTGAAGGAGGCTGGAAAGTATTAAGATTCCTCTACATCTTGATTCCATCTCCACTACCTCCAGCCTTTTCTTCTGCTTTCCCCACTGCACACAGGTGACTGCCTCCAGGAGGCTTCCATATATGGAGGTTGCAGACTTTGGGGGTGCCAAATTGAAGCCATATGTCACAGTGGCACCGTGCTCCCCAACCTTAAAACTCATTTTCAGCCTCCCATTAGTAATCCCTGGGACGAACAAGGGTGAATGGGGGTCACGGGTAAGCTCTACCCTAATGCTATGCTAAATACCCCATAGCCTGCCTACACATCTCCTGCCAGCTTATGTCTTCCTCCAAATTGGTCTTTGCTCACATTAAAATTCTTCAATCAAGAATCAAGCTCAGAAGGTGCCCTTTCCTGGCAACAGTACATCCAGTATATGTTGACCTCCTTTCCCTAACCACCCACGCCAACTCCTCCCAGTGCTTCTTTTGCACGTCCCTCTCTGGTTGCTATTGGCAACTCTTCCCTTTAACATCTCACTGCATGAACCCCACAGACCCTTACCCACACAAAAGTTACAAGATATTTCTATTTTCAATCTACCCCTCCCCTTTTGCCTTGTAGGACCCTTCTCAAGATTTCGTACTACATTTTCCTGTAACATCACTGTCACCAAGCCAATATGTGCGCACACACACACACACACACACACACACACACACACACACACACCCCACTCTTCTCTGGTATTATAACACTACCAATTCCTGCATTAAACCACTTTTTCAAGGTTTCTGCACCCTCATAAGTTGTTCCCCAGATTTATCTCTATGAGGCTGGAGAACTTGCTTTACAGAAGGAAACTGAAAGAAACAAGAGATCTCCACCTCTCTGTACAACAGACTGGGTCTCACTGTCTGACTGGGTGCTCCATGGGAACTGCTAGAACAACCCTCGTCCAAATATGCCATCTGGCCAGCAACTTCCAGGACAAGCTTGACCTGGTGATGGCTATGCACCCAACACCCCTACCAAATAGCACTCAAACCCTCTGGTACCTTGACTTCTTGGCTTCCTTGACCCAAGACTGGCCATTCGAACCCTACTCCTCCTGGCACCTTGCTGCATCCAATTTATAAAATGGCAGATAAGTAGCATTGCAAAACTCACTGCCAATTGGGTTCTGGTTCAATACTAAACTGTTTCCAACATAGAGGCTGATGACGTAGATGACACCTCCCTTTTATAAAAAAAAAAAAAAAAAAAAGTAGGAGATGTGTGGCAAGTGAGCCATGAGACCCGGGGAACTGGCCTGGAGCAAGTGTGAGATCAAGACATGTCAAAACCCTACAAATCTCATCTTGAGACTGGAGGGAGTAAGGATCGCTCCCTTCCTTTTCTGGTCCTGCATTTCCCAGGGCACGAAGCCTTGCGACCCCCTACCTTTGCCACCCTTGGTATAGTCATGCATCCTTGTGGCCAGGTTTCAGAACATGTCTAGCAAGCACCTGATATTCTTTCCGTGCAAACGAAGCATTCCCTGAGCCTCAGCTCCAGCCAATGAGGTACATCCACCCTCAGAACCCTTACCATGTCTTTAAGGTTGATATAGCCCTTATGCCCCCCTCACCCCCAATAGAGGAGAGCTCTTTCACTGAAAACTATCTTGGAGAAGGGTATTTTTTCTCTCTTTCTCTTTCTCACACACCCCCCACCTAGCTAAGCTTCATTCCTTTAAATCTAGCATCTGTGCACAAAGGTTCCTTGACACCCCAAAGGAAGAAGCAACCTGGGTCAACAAATCTACTGAACACTTAGCAAGTCCTGTCTGAACCCTAAAACGCCACCATCTGCACATGAAGGCAAAGAAAGATAGCAATAACCAAAGCCTCTATTTTCCTCCAGTTTCACCAAGTGAAGATTAGGTTCATAGGGATTCAGGTAAAGAAACAGGCGACTCATCCTTGGGGTACCCACCCCCGCTGTTTAACTTACTGTTTAAGGTCCAAAGGAGAAACAAAATGAGCAGAGTGAAAAATAGCATCATCACAGACAAGATTATGCATATGTCCCACAGCCAATTACTATACAATGGGTATGCATCATCCAAAATAGAAGCTGGGAAAAAAAAAGAAAAAAATGTTAAACATATTTTTAAGTAAGTAAAATAGAGACAGGGAAATATGCATAAATTAAGCTCACAGGACCCTAGTCAACATGAAAGAGGAAAAGGAGGCTTTAAGTAGCCTTCATTTTCTGGTCAAAGTTTAGGCCACATATTCAAGATTTTATGACAAAACTTTGCAATTTGAGTGAGTCAAAGGGAGTCAAAGGGTTTTGCAGTTTGGTTTGAGCCGTGTGTGTAAACTGTAAGATACTGTTATTTTTACTCATTTACCCACAGGTAGCTGTGAATAACATCTTCTTGGTTATTTTTATTCTCTGGTTTAGGAGAAGCCAAAGCAAGATGTTGCAGAAAAAGCACTGAGAAAAATACATCAGTCCACAGTCCACACATACATGCACGAACACACCAATACAGCCCGTATAACATTGGATGTGTGTCCTTCACATACCAGAGGTCAACGTACCAGAGGTCACAGCTTTTTAAAAATATTTTTATATTTTTTTCACAATTTATTTATTTTGTAATCTGATTGAAGCCCCCTGGATCCTCTTCCTCCATAGCCTGACACGGCCGTATCACCAGGGGCGAGTGATCAAAGAGCAGGCAACTACTCCATAAAAGAGGCAGCCCCTGCTCCCCTTACTCAGAGATCCACATGGAGACTGAGCTGCCAATTGGCACATCCGAGCAGGGGATCTAGGTCCTTTTCACACCTGGTCCTTGGTTGCTGCATCAGTCTCTGCAAGACCCCCTGGGTTCATATCCCTTCAGTATTGTTAGTCTCCTTGTGGGGCTCCTGTCCCCTCCATAACCCTCTGACCTCTTCTTCCATAAAACTCCACATCTTCTTCTATAAAACTCCCTGCGCTCTGCCCAAAGTTTGGCAGTGAATTTCAGCATCTGCTTCCATACCCTGTTGGGTGGAGCCTTTCAGAGGATCCTGTATAGTAGGCTCCCATCCCGTTTTCTCTCTTCCACTAATGTTTGTGTCTATACTGTTTGCCATTCTGGATGAGATTTAAGCAACCTCCCTAGGATCCTCCTTAGTGTTTAGCTTCTTTAGGTCTATAGATGGCTGTCCTATATTATACAGCTAATATCTGCTTATAAGTGAATGTATACCATGCCTGTCTTTCTGTTTCTGGGTTACCAGTCAGGATGATCTTTTCTAGTTCCATCCATTTGCCTGCAAATTTCATGATTTCCTCGTTTTTAATAGCTGAGTAATATTCCATTGTGTCTCCTCTTCTGCAATGATCCACAAGCCTGAGGAGGAGGTATACTGCTTGGAAATGACCATTGAGACAACTTTTATGCTCTGCATCTTGATCTCTGTGTTAATCGTCATCTACTGAAAATAGGAGTTCGTCTGATGAGAGCTAACTGCTGCATAACCTGGGCCCATGCCGTGTGTGATAGCTGTGTACACAATGCATCTGACCTGATATCTGAAGTCCAGTTCTTTTTCATTATGTTTGATTTCCTACTTAATGTTTCTGCTAAGTTATTCATCTTTAATTTCAATTAGGTATAATCAAATCTATATAGACATTCTACTTGGTCTTTCATTGTTAGTATTTTAAGTCCATTCTTTCATTTCATTTTCAAATAAAAAAGACACATTTCATATGCTTAATATACACAGGAAGCCCAGACCATGACTGCCAATTTTGAAACTCTAAGCTTTTTTTTTGGTAATTACCCCTCAAATACCCAACAGGAAAGCCCATCAAGTGTCTTTGTCTTCAAATTTTGCACAAAATTCATACCAGTAAAAAGTTGCAATCTTGATCAGAAAGAATAATTTCTAAATTCTTTCTTTTTGCAAAAATTCAATTTTTATTTCATATGTATGAGTATTAGAGGTCAGAGCAGGTTTTCAGAATCCCTAAAACTGTAGTTAGAGTGAGTTATGGGCTGCCATGTAGATGCTGGATGAGAATCCATATCTACTGCAAGAGCAGCAAGTGATCTTAACTACTGTGCCATCTCCCCACTCCCTAAATTCTGTTCTTCATTGTATCCCATGAGATGCAGTTTTACTTAGTAAAAGGAAATTTTTACACACTATTTCAATGTTCATTACTTTGCCCCACCCAAATGAATATGGGTTTTTATGTTAGACTCCTCCTTAAGAGGGTTTTAAGAATTAGAGTTAGTTTATTTAATCCTGATACGAACTTTAAAATCAGGGTATCAGGAATCCTACAGAAACATAAAAATAGAGAAAAGGAGGGAAAATGGGCAATAAAAAATTCTTGTATATTTATTTTTTCTATTACTCAAAATATTGTTCTTGCTTTCTTGGTGGCAAAAATAATTTTAGAGTCACATGACTGTATAAGCATTAGATGGATAGAAAGATGTATTGCAATCTGAAAGCCTGATTTGGGGTATTCAAAGTATTCCATAGTGCTAGAAGTTAGTTATATCTTCCATACTTTTATACACCATTGCTATTTGTCCGCTGACTCTTGGAGAAATTTCCTTTGAGTGGATTTATTTAGGATTTAAGGCTTGTTTTATGATCTGCAGTAAAAAGACAGAATATGTTTCATTGATATCTATCCTGAAATATAATTGGAAAGGAGCATATCTGTACCTAATTTCTGATATAATTTTATAGATGAGTATAAATTCCTCACAAATCATAGCTAGATCTTTTGCTTTACTTTGACAGTCACTGTTTCTATAAAATACTTCCTATCCTCCACAATGAAATGAAAGGTATTTCTAAATTCTCAGGTACTATACTATACACAGTATATGTTATACTATACAGTACTTTCAAATAGTCTGTAAATACATACCCAAGAAAACCAAACATCACCTTTCAGAAGTCTTGAAAAATAAAAGTGAACTCAAATAGGAAAAAAAATGTACTTTTTATCATTAATTATCAGAAGGGGTCACTAAACCAAAAGTATTTTTAATGTTTATAAATTGTTGGCTTAGTGTAAGTGATAGGTAACATCTACATTGGGCTTTGTAAAAATAAATAAATAAAAATGTTTGTACATGAGGGATTAAATGAAGGCCAGACCTGGAGAAATAAAGCTTTTCATTGTTGTACAAGAAACTGTAACTATGAGTATGAAGATATAAGATATAAGCAGATAGAAGCCTAAAACTTTAGAAAACATATCATTCCAAGGACAGCATTTGAGACGTGACATCACTGAGATGTCACTGAAACCACTGTTGCTACTGTTGTGACAGAGGCTACTCAGCTTGATATAAATAGATGAGAAGGCACTGGGCAGAGGAGAGGCAAAGTGCCAGATCCCATTCCAGTTCCACTCACCTCTGCTCCTGAACTTTAAGTAGAGAGGGAGGAAGGCAATATACAAAACTAACAGTAGAAACTCACAGGTAAGCTCATAGCCAAGTCTCATTTCATTCTTCCCATCTGAAAAAGAGGCAGCAAGAAGATTTAGGATTCTAGGACTTTTGGGAATGCATTGGAACAGCAAAAGAAATGCTGAATATGGGCAGTACATTAAAAATAGCGGTACTGTATCTATTAATCAGGGATAAAGCCTCATGTGCAAGATTTTTAGGGTTAAGATTGGAGTCAGGGTTAGGAATTTTTAGTGAAGAAATAAACTTAGAACTTGAACAAGCTAAGATTTATGGTCATTTAGGCTGAAAACAGAACAGGCTTAAAAACAATCAAATAATAAATATCTTCTCACTTTCCTCATGACTTTGCAGTGTGTAATCAGACTGAAAATATGACTTGGATACTGTGGGACCCAGTTCACTATAGCCTTGCCTAAGGGTTGTGGTATCCTCACGGTAGGGTTTCTGTGAAACTCTGAGATAACTAAAAGAGGAAGAATCTGCCTTGGAAACCAAGACATCAGCAATTACAATGACGTTCATTCACCCAGTAATGATGTCTTTGGAGGAATTCTTAGATCTCGGGGGCAATAGTGATTATAGCTGTACCCTTGCCCTGAAGAACCCCAAAGAAGGGAGGGTGGTGGCTTAACCTGAGGATCTCTAAAGATTTTGAGACCTCCTTTGACAAAGAGTATTAAGGTGCACTAAAGTTCAGGGTTATACAATTTTGTATGCATCACATGTGAATATTGGGTTTCAAGAAGAAATGATTTCAGAATTCCTTACCTTTCTTGAATTTAATATTCTTTTCTATGAAATGAGAAACAAAATTTTCTCTGGGACAAATAAAAACAAGTATTCCTCTGAGAAAATTAAGAAGGAGCATAATTATCAAATATATCATAGGCCGTGGAAGTTTGTTTGACATCAAGGACATATACTCTGGTTTGAACAGGACATCTGAAAGAACGAACAGAAGAATCTGGTCTTATTAATTTGATATACATTTCCAAAGAAAAGATTCACATTACAGGCTAAGTAACCAGTTGGCAGATCCAATCGCTGAGAAGTGTCTGGACAATAAAAGCTCTGACATGTCAATGGATCTAATCTATTGATGGACTCATAATTTGATGGCAGTTCTGGAAAATGGAAAAAATTTTAGGAAGAGGGGGCGGTTGGATAAAGTAGGCAACTGGGGACATGCTTTTGAATGGTATATTGTGTGCTTGCTCCACACCTAATTGCCTTTTCTGACAATCTTGATAGTTGGTTATTATTTGAAACTGAGATTAGCTAGGTGCCTGAAGATTAAAGACTCAGGGAATCTAGGGCCTCTTGCCACAGTGCCTGAAGATGGCCACCGAGGCAGCTGTGAAAAGGAGGTAAGACAGTCAATCATTTTTTTTCTATTAAACAGCTCAATATTCTAGAGACATTTGTGTCCTTTAATCTGACTGTCAGAGTATTGAAACAATGTGCCTGCAAAGAATGGAGATTTCCCCAGGAATCTTTCTCAGAAAAGAAAGTTTCCAGTCTAAGGGGAAACTTATCTCCCCAAAACAGATATTGCACATAGATCTAGCAACTTGTCAGACTACTTTGTAGGGTGAAAGTGAAGCCCAGACAATGATGGTTCATTTGTGGTAGTCAAACACCTTGACCAAGACTTTTTAGATGTATATATCCTTGGCTATATATTTGAACTTTAATTTCACTTCAGTCTCCTGAACATGGACTTGGCAAAGTCACTAGATCTTTTTGTCCTTCTCCCATAGTAGTCATGTGAAGTAAATCTCCCTTTTTTTATTTTCTCTATTAACTTAGCTATTTGAAGTAGTTCTTAAGCACAGAGTTTAACTTTCAATTTTAGTATCAGGTTTTCTCTTTCCACCATATGGGTCCCAAAAATTGAACTAATGTAGGAAGGCTTTCTACCTGTTTAGCCATCTTCCCAGCCTTTCTAATAAAGTAAAATATCATAGTTATTCCCTCATTCAAGTCTGTACTATTCTGGGACTAATAACTTCCAAATATTGTTTCTTCCTCTAAGTCCAGTTTCATTAACTAAGAGCCCTCATCTACATCTATACTACAAAGTACAGAGTTAAGTAAGGCCCTTAGGTACACATTTTATTTCTTCAACAGCACTCTTCCATGAATAATTGAGTTTTGTAATCATGCTTCTTTACTTACAGTTATATTAGACACTTTCATCACTGTAACAAAATGACTCTGAGACTCAATCTTACACCCATCAGAATGGTTGAAATCAAACTCAAGTGACAGATCAGCCTGGCAAGGATGTAGTGCAACAAAAACATTCCTCCATTGATGGTGAGAGTATAAACTTGTACAGCTACTTTGGAAATAAGTTCAGTGATTTCTCAGAAAATTGAGAATAGATCTACCTCAAGACCCAGCTATACGATTACTGGGCATATACCCAAAGGACCCTCCATCCTTCCACAAGGACACTGGCTAAAGTATGTTCATATTTGATGAGTATTATTCATAATTGCCAGACATTGAAAACAACCTAGATGTCCCTCAACCAAAGAATGGATAACGAAAATGTGGTACATTTGCACAATAAAGTACTACTCAGCTGTTAAAAACAATGACAAATTTGCATGCAAATGGGTGAAACTGGAAATGATCATCCTGAGTAAGGCAATGCAGACCCAGAAAGACAAACATGGAATCTACTCGCTTCTAAGTGGATATTAGCCACACACTAAAGGATGATTATGCTACAATCCACAGATCCAAAGATGCTAGGTAGCAAGGAAGGCTCAAGGGGACACATGAATTTCACTGAGAAAGGGAAATAGAATAGACATCCTGGGTGAATTGAAGAAGACTTGACGGGGCTTGGGGTGTACATAGGAAGAGCAGGGATGAAATGGGGCAAAGACAGTATGAGAGAGCACTGAAAGACACAATTGGAATTTGGGTGGGCATCTCTGGGACAAGCTAAAAACTTATGGTGATAAAAATTCCCAGGAATCTTTGAGGGTGACCCTAGCTAAGACTTCTAGAAATGGGGTATATGGAGCCTGAATCTGCCATTTCTTGTAATTATGCAAGACTTCCAATGGAGGGATTGGGACACCATCCTGACCACAAAAACCTTCAACCTGCCCTTTGCCCTGCCTACAAGATTTTCAGAAGTAAAAATGAAGCAGAATTTGAAGAAATGACTCAACCATCCCACCCCTGACACTCATAACTATATTCTGCTATACTTGCAGACAGGAGCCTAACACAATCATCATCAGAGATGCTTCACTCTGCAACTGGTGGAAGCAAAATTTCAAGTGACAACACATACTGGAGAGGAGAAAGGGGGAACCTCCTCCATTGCTGGTGGGAGTGAAAACTTGTACAACCACTTTGGTTGTACAAAAGTACATCCAGCACTTTCTCACAAAACTGGGAATACTGCTACCTCAAGACCCAGCCACACCAATACTGGCCATCTACCCAAAAGATGTTCCACCATTCAACAATGGCATTTGCTCAACTGTGTTCACAGCTGTTTTGTTCATAATAGCCAGATGGTCCTCAACTGAAGAATAGATACAGAAATTGTGACACATTTACATAATGGACTACTAATCAGCTATTAAAAACAAAGAAATCATGAAAATGGCAAGCAAATGGATGGAACTAGAAAATATCATCCCAAGTGAGCTACCTCAGAACCAGAAAGACAACCATGGTATATACTCACTTAGAAGTGGATATTAGGCATATAATATAGGATAAGTATACTAAAATCTATGGATCTAAAGAAGCTAAACAACAAGGAAAACCCTAGGGAAGATGATTAAGTCTCATTCAGAATGGCAAACAGGATAGATACCAGAAGGGCTGAAGAGAAGGAACAGGATGGAAACCAACCAAAGATGTCCTCTGAAAGGCATCACCCAACAAGGGATGGAAGCAGATGCTGAGACTCATAGCCAAACTTTGGGGTAAAGCCCAGGGAGTCTGATGGAAAAAGAGAGGATAGAAGGACCTGGAGGGGACAGGACCTCCACAAGGAGACCAACAAAGCCAAAATATCTGGGATCAGGGGCCCTGCAGAGACTGACGCACTAACCAAGGACCATGCATGGAGAGGACCTAGACTCCCTGCACAGATGTAGCTCATAGACAGCTCAGTCTCCATGTGAGTTCCTAAGTAAGGGGAGCAGGGGCAGTCTTTGACATGAACTCTGTTATCTGCTCTTTGGTCACTTCCCCCTTATGGTATGGCCTTGCAGGCAGCAGAGGAAGATGATCCAGGCAGTACTGATGAGACTTGATAAGCTAGGGTTAGATGGCAGGGGAGAGGGACACCCCCCACAATGAACTACAGGGAAGGCATGGGGGAGGGAGGGAGGGAGAGTGGGACTGGGAGGAGATGAGGGAGGGAGATACAATCAGGATATAAAATGATTAAATTTTAAGAAAGAAAAAAGAAAAAATATTAGCAAATTATTAGCAAAAACTTACCTGGTAGGACAATACTTTTCTTTTTCTCCTGCTTAGTAGTTACATTGTAAATGGAGCAAGTAATGGGACCATGTGTTCTGTTCTTTAGAAGAATACTGCTCTTCAAATACAATAATCCAGCTCTGTTCTGAGTGTCAGATGTTGATGAGTGTGAGATTATGTTCCCCTTGCTGTCTTTCCATATCATCTCAGCAGGTGGAATCAAACTTCCTGAAGCACACTCCACCAGCACGCCTTCTGTATCCGGAACCTGAATGTTAATCTCTACATTCAAGCCCATAGCTAGGAAGAGGAGAAATATGGCATTATTATTGGTAGTGTGGATTCAAGATCTGAGAATCTTGTGGAAGTGCCCATTCTCAATGGGCTCCCACCTGTGTCTCATATATGGACAGACACAATTAGGGCAAAAGCAATACTTCAATGTAAACACAAGCAGGGAAGACACAAAAATACAATCTCAGAAAAACTGATACATCAGACTTCACAAAATTTAGTAATTTTTGTATATCACAATAAGGGTAAAAATAGAAAGTCACAGACTAAAGATATCCATACTATATCTGAAAAAGGAACCGTGTTCAAAATAGATGAAAGGCGCTGTAAATCAAGTTTTATTTTCTAAAATTGGAAAAGAGTAGAAGATGAATTTAATTTAAAGAGATACCCTAATGACCAATAAGTATATGCAAGGATGTTCAATATCATCAGCCATCAGAGAAATGCAAATATTTGAGCTCCCACTGCAATGTTGAAGAAGCAGAACAAGGACTGACGGACATTGCCACAGATTGGAAAACAGAGGACTCTTTTTATATGGAAAAGTGTCAGTATATAGTAAAGTTGTACATACACTTATGTTCACAACCCAGAATTTTTTAGTAGATGTTCACATATTTTCAGAATATTAATGACATGATTAATCGTAATAGGCCCAAAACTCAAAGTAATAAAAATAATACAAAAAATACAAATGTTAATACTGAAAACAAATGCAAAAGAATAGCAAACTTCTACTGTGTTATTGCTGTGAAGAGACACCATGACCAAGGCAACTCTTATAAAAGAAAGCATTTAAGTGGGGGGCTTGCTTATAGTTTTAGAGGGTTGGTCCATGATCACCATGGTAGAAAGTAGACAGGCATGTCACTGAAGCAGTACCTGAGAGCTTTACATCCTATTAGCCGACAGCAGGCAAAGAAAGAAGCTAAGCCTGCTGTGCTTTGAGGTTTTTGAAACCTCAAAGCCCACCTCCAGGACACCCCACATCCAAAGAGGTCATTCCTAATCAGTCCTTGGTAGCTAAGCATTCAAATTTATGATCCATTGGGAGCCATTTTCATTCAGAACACCACTATGGGCAATAATTGTTGCTAGTATTTCTCAAATTTAAGATTATAAAACTGTATAAATAAAAATAATTTTTGTTTTGGAAAAATAGCAGAACTAGGTAAATCAGAACAAATGAAACACGTACAAGTTATCAGGAAAAGTGCACAATTTAGTTGTAAAACAATAATTAGACCATTAGCACTTTTCAAATCAAGGGAAACAATATATCCAGAAGTACTGAAGAAAAATAAACCAATTTTACATAAAATATGCAAAGATGGAAACAAGTTAAAAGAATTTAGTAATACAGAATGTAAAAGAAACTGTAGTCACTAAAAGTTTTCTTTGTCAAGAAAAAAAAAAGTGGATACAAAGGGAGGAAGAAGATTAGATTCGTTCAAGCTGGTGTGGCTGGAGATGTGATGAAGAACATTAGAAGACACTGAACACAGAAGTAAAATAAGTTGGCAAATTTTATAACCTATTGCTTACAAATGCTTCCTTTTTAAACAAGGTTTGCTATTTTTGGATTTTTAGCTTATTTTATGTGTGTGAGTGGTTTGCATGTATGAATATGAACTATGTGTGTATCTGGTGCCTGCAGAGGTTAGAATAGGACATGGGATCCTCCTGAGATTGGAGTTCCAGACAGCTGAGAGCTGCTACATGGATATTCAGAACCAAAACCAGGTCCACTGCAAGAACAAGTGGGTTAACCACTGAGATACCTTCCAGCATTAAGTGTGTGCAACTGAGCTCAGGTCTTCCACAAGAGCAGCAAGTGCTCCTAAACACAGTGCCCTTTCTCCATCCCCTCAAAATGTTTTTCTTTTTGTTATTGTTCTTTAAAATGGTTACAAATGAAACAGTAAAAACAAGATCTGAAGTTGTCAAAGTAAAAAAAAAAAAAAAAGAATAAAAGAATAGCAAACTTCTCTCATATCATAAATGAATAATGGTGAATTATTTTGACCACTATACAGACTGTTAAAAATGGAATAATACAGTAATATTTATGAATCATTTGGCCACTATAGAGATTATTATGAATGGAATAATACAGTAATATTTGTGATTAATCTATGGCAATGGAAGTTAGAACAATGGTCACTTTGCAAGAAGATCATAGTGTTGACTAGGAAAGGTTAAAACACCATTTTGAGTTGCTAAATATTCAGTACCTGGAGCTGAAGAATGAATTTGTGAATATACCTATAAGCAAAAATTCACTCTGTTGTAAACTTAATATACTTCACTGTGTGTTACATGTATCTCAAATCTAAAAGAAAAACAATAAATCCAAATCAGAACCGAATTCAACCAGGTATTTCCATCTCTGCACTGTTTTGGCATTTGCATCACCAGGTCTTGAACATAGTCACTGACTCAAGTTTTCTGAACTAGTAAACTAGTAAACAAATAACAAATAAAGTTTTTTTAAACAGATTTTAAAAATTTAATATATTAATGCACGTATTTAGAGTTCTTGTTGCCAAAACTCTAAGGGATGTAATAATGAAAAATTATGTGAAATCTGCAACAACTTTCCTGCTGAAAACAAACTCTAAAAGTTGATACACTATAAAACTAATTCCCAAAATTAATTAGAAACCCAACAAAATAGGCAGCGACTGGAGGATCAAAACAGGGAAGCAAGTAGGTGCAGAGAGATGGTCAATGTATCTGCTTCTGTAACATTTACTGACTGGGGAAAGGAACTAATTTTTTTTTAATTTAATTTGTTTAATTATTTTACTTAATATTTCCTTTAAATAATTTAAGGCAATGGTTGGTGATCAGACTCTTCAGCCCGAAAGGGTGAAGATGATGTTGATCCAACACCATCTCATTTTCAAGTGACTACAAGAACACAGAGAAAAAAAAAAGACTAGTGAGCAGTTTGGGGGCCAGAGCAAGGTGAGCTCAGTGCAGAAACCTCACTACAGAAGTCGATTCTGTGCATTACGCTCCTGTGAAGACCACAACAAAATAGAAGTAACTATTCTAAGTAGAGACGGAGGGGTCAGTACTCTCTAGAGAGCTCAATCAATTCAATAAAATGTATTTAAATCACAGAGGATTTTGCAGAAGTACATATCACCTGATAGATCAATACTAAAATTTCATATACACACTTATACATATGTGAAGTTTCATCTGCAGTAACGGAAATTACTGGCATTGAACTTGTATGTAATGGCTTGATGTAATAGCAAATCTTTCATTCTTATTTTAATGGTGTAAGTATAGTTCCTCCCATTCAGATTTCCCACATTGTACTTGCTTTTTAGTCTTATCCTGAGTCCGGTTCATTTCTCCTGATGTTTCTATGTCTTCTCCTCCCAGATACAATCTGCCTTTCTTCCTTTCTCTTCCCCTCACCAGACTAGGATGTCTTGCCCTATTCTCTGCATTGCTCAGCATCAGCCAGTTGGCTTTATTGGAACAACAGAGAACAAATGATGACGTGTTTACACAAACTTGAGACAAGAGATGCTTAGAATAAACATCACAATTCAATATCTGGATTGAAGCCAGATAGTGGGGCAGAGAAAATGGCATTTGAATGAACAAGGGTAATTGTATACATTTCACAAGACCATTATGCCAACATATTATTGTTTTTTAATATCCCCAGAGGAAAGTGAAGCTACCACCACCTCATCAACAAAATCTCTCTCCAGCAAACGGAGACCATCCCAGAAACTATGACTAGACACATACAGAGATCAAAAGATTGTGGGGAGCACAACCCAGTAGGTGTATCTACAATATAGCTTCTGCTTCTATGGTTCAGGGAACAGAGCAGAAGAGGGGTGGAAAAAATTGCGCTGAGATAGTTTCTTCTAGAAAGGGCTGCAAAAATAAGACTAGAACAATGGCGACATCACCAGGCATATTAACACGGAAAGAGAATGTTTTTGCAGGGTCCCACACTAGACAAAGGACACATGACCAGAAGACAGGGGATGGCAAGGGTGAAAGGGGAATAAGAGACTGTTGGAGGAAAGTCATCAGAATGCCTTGGAAGCATTTATGAATGATCAAAGAACAAATTTAATCAATCAAAGCGAGAGGGTTTCTCTACCTTGGGTGTGTACTGCGGTCTGTAGGAGAAGAAAGGCCATGAATGATCCAGATAAACAGGAAACTGAAGGCTGCATCACACCTGAAAAATTAAATTGTAAACATGACATCAAAATTGGGGCAGTAAGAACCATGACAAGGAGGGAGTCCAAGATGGTGGCAACTAGCGTGTACCATATCTGAGGTCCAGAGGATCTGAGACTCTGAAATCGGTGAATGGATGGGCAGCTGAAGCCAGAACATCAACAATGAGGCTTCCTGGGTGACAGGAGACAATCCGGGAACTGGGACAGTTTGGATCAGGGCACCCTTGGATGTCTCCAGGGTCTGAGAGTGGTGAGTATTTGACCCCCTGCACTTCCCCTTGCCCCAAGCACAGGCCTCCCTGCTTGGAGGAGGCAGCAGTGATTGCCTCAAACAGGATCCTCCCTGCTCAGTGACTGAGACGGCAGAGGCCGCTGCCCAAGTACGGGCCTCCCTGCCCGGGGACCAAACAGTGGACACCGCTAAGCTGATGGAGATCTTCTACACTTTCATTGCCCCTGCAGGCCCAAATCTGAGAATAGAGAATGGCGGGATGCCTGTGCTTTCCAATTAAACCTGCAAGCAAAGGAGTGTACCTTTAAGTGAGTGCGTGCAGAGCCCCAGATCCAGGGTTCCTCTAATCTAGCAGCCAGACATCACACATCCTACCCATATGTTGTCCCCCATCTCTATGGGCACCATAGAGATCCTTAGGACAGCGTTTTCAACATTGAAGCCCTATCCGGGAGTCTCCCAGTGGAGTCCAAGCAAACAATTCCTGGAGCCAAGATGGAGCAATCTGAACACCTGGAGAACAGTATTACAGGCCTGTGGGCCACTGAGGCATTCAAGGCACCTGCACATGCCCATTGCACCTTTGAACAGAGCCAGTACCCCAACCTGTGCTTAAACTCCACCTTCCAGGCATCTACATGCTCTAGGACCCTGTCTTTCAAGGCACACTTCCATGCACACTTCTGTACCTGCACATATGTGCCTGCGACATTCCTCCCTTAGCTACAGCTGAAACACCAACATCCACTCTCGAACCTGTGGACCTCTCTCATATTCCTAAACAATACTCCAGACTCCAGAGAGAGAAGACAGTCTGAAGTAAGACTCCAGAAACACGGATAAACAAATGGCTAAAGGTCAGCCTAAGAACACATCCAACCAGAAGCTGGAAACAACCTAATGTCCCTCAATGGAGGAATGGATACAGAAATTGTGGTACATTTACACAATGGAATATTACTCAGTAATTAAAAACAAGGAAGGAGAAGTCTTAATGACTGTTACAATTGCTTCAGAACAAAGTCAACCTAAATAATACTTTCAGAAGATCACAGAGTCACAATTCACAGCATACATAAATATGACCCATGTAAATCAATAATGTGAGTGTGAACTCAAGAAATTAGACACAAACAAACAAAATAATCCAATTAAAAATGGGGTACAGAGCTGAGCAGAGAATTCTCAACAGAGGAATATTGAATGGCAGAGAAACACTTAAAAGAAATGCCCAACATCCTCAGTCATCAGGGAAATGCAAATCAAAACTACCCTGAGATTCTATCTCACACCCATCAGATCAAAAACTCAAGGGATGACACATGTTGGAGAGGTTGTGGAGAAAAGGGAACCCTCCTCCATTGCTGGTGGGAATGTAACCTTGTACAACCACTTTGGAAATCAATCTGGTGCTTTCTCAGAAAGTTAGGAATAGCTCTACCTCAAGATCCAGCTATACCACTCCTGGGCATATATCTGAAAGATGCTCAATCATACAACAAGGACATTTGCTCAACTATGTTCAATCAATATAATTTTTATACATTCTGATATTGTGAAATGATTTCTATAGCCAAATTATTAAGATATGGATCGGCTAAAATAGCTACCTTTGTGGAGGTGATAAGAATATTTAAAAATCTACTGCCTGAGAAATTGCCAAGTACTCTATACACTATTATTAAGCATAATCATCCCCATGCTATGCAGCGCTTACTTATCCCGTCTAACTGAAACTTTGTTCCTGTACTTTGCCCTGCACTGTCCAGTCACACCCCTAGCACCTAGCAAACACTCTTCTACACTCTGCCTATGTGAGTTCAACTTTTATACATTATTTTATACATTGTTGTTCTGAGTCGAGACTATTTCACTGAACACAGTGTCCCCAAGGTCCATGGGTATCGTCACAAATGAGAGGATTTTCTTCTTTTGAAAGGCTAAAGTTTCCTTCAGCATTGTGAGCACATATATATGTATGCCATATTCTTTCATTTATCAAGTGTCAATGGATGTATTGTGTGGTTCCCATTTCTTGTCAACTTGTGGACAGTGATGTATGAAGATGAAATGCAGGTGTCTCTTCAACATATTGGTTTCACTTCCTCTGGATCATATAACCTCTTGATTCTCAAGCACGCACATCCATGTGTTTAGAACCAATGAAATTATATGTAAGGAATTACAGTCATGATTTCTTAAAATTATCTTTGTTACTAAGGACAGTCCTGACTTCCGCTCTTCCTATAAAATATAGTAATTATCTTACTCTTACTTTAGCCATACTTCTTCATTGTTATCGGGTGCTCAGAATGATGAATGGAGTGTATTTGTCATAGTGCTCCTCAGTACACTTATTTCTCTTTACTAGTTTTCAGCTAACGAAAGTTAATAGAAATACACTGTCTGAAGTAAAAAAGACCTGCAATGTATGTTTCTTTGCTTAAATACTTAACAATACCAACGAAAGGAAAGGGACGCAAAAACAAACAAACAAAAAATCTTGACAGAATAAACGAGCCTGAAGTCAATAATAAAGAGTAGCATACTGCGTGATGCGTACAGCCAAGCAAACGAGCAATAACCACGATGGCCCACCTCAAAAAAGTGCTCGAAAGTTCCCCTCATCCTTCTCCAAAGAAGATAGAGAGCAGATAAGTGGAGGAGGCAGCCAGTGTAGAAAGAACATCATGTGAGTACATTGGGGACCTGAGCGTCAACCAACTGGGTCCCCATTATTATGATGATCACTACCAGCTATGCTGTAGACATGTCACAATCAGGAGGACTTTCTGTACGAACTCTGGGGAGTGGGTGCATCCAGCGGCTTATTTTTCCACTCTGCCATGTACACCTCATTTCAAGGGAAACACGAAGGCGGCACCCCACCCGTGTGTAGGATCGTCTGTTCAAACCCGTCTTTTAACACCAGGATTCCACCAATAATGTTCAGCCAAGCATGAGTTTTAGGTTGACCTGACTGTTCCTGAAAACAAAATATGAAGTGGTATTGTCATTTGCCATATGATCTGGGCCATTTAAAGTGGTTACGATGAAGAAATCTCCACAAGGTGTCATATCGCAGGGAAATGTTGTGGACTATGTTCTGAGTCTTTGATAGTGGAGACGAAAAACTTGTATTGGAAAATTATTATAAACATAATTTTTAATAAGAGTAAATATTGGAAATCTTTCTTTTTAACTCTGGAGAACTAAATATTTAATCTAGTACCATGAGACAATAAAGGCATCAGTGACACATAAATATATCAAAAAAATGAAATTAAGTAAATATAGAGATTTGATAATGTACATGGAAATAAGAAAACTGATTAACAAATATGGACATAAAATAGTGTTCTTCCAGCTTCAATAAGATTAGAAATGCATTAGGTCTTTGCAGAGATTAAAGATATTTTACATCTGAATAGCTGAGTAAATAAATAATATGCGGAAATTGTATGATAGTAATGATCTAATTTACAGATACAAATTACCTTCATATTACATTACATATTCAATAAATTCTTACATAATGAAATCAAAATATTTAACCTTTTTTTACATTATGAGTGTTTTGCCTGTGCTTATACCTGTGCACCACTTGATTGCAGTGCCTTCAGAGGCCACAAGAGGGTGTCAGATCCATTGGGACTGGAGCAACCTTTTGGAAGCCACCAAGTGGGTGCTGGGAATCGAACCTGGTACTCTAGAAAAGCAGTAAATGCTCTTAACCACTAAGCCATTTTTATACTCCCATGCTATCACAATATTAAGAGCAATAGAGTAGCTTAGCCTCAAATTTATTTGAAAGAAAAGAAAGTAAATCTTGGCACCTACAACACAGATGAAATTTTGGCCTCTTCTTCCAGGAAGAAAGGAGGTGTGTGTCAGAAGGACGCTGTGGAGTTCAACCAAATAATCACTTTGGAACACTTTAAGTTGCAGCATTGAAAGGTGACATAGGTATTGAGTTATAGTGGTACAATATCCATATCTCCTTCATAATGAAGCTTCACTTGAACCAACTAATGTTTAAAAACTTGTTCATAAATAATTCAGAATGTTTTAAAACACACTACGTAGATATACAGCACATACAGCATATACTTATATGCCAGGAGTTTTACATTTCAAGCTTTTGAAGTTATAAATTACATGAAGTTCAGGAGATAATGGTTTCAGCATTTGGGGATTTTGAGTGTGTCTACTAATGATATAAAGATAAAAATAAAGAGAATTAAAACAAACAGAGGAATCCAGGAGTGGTGCTGCTCACCTTTATTCCCAGCACCCGGGAGGCAGAGGCAGGCACATCTCTGTGAGTTTGAGGCCAGCCTGGTCTAAAGAGCAAGTCCCAGGACAATCTTGGCTGTCACACAGAGAAACCCTGACTCAAAAAACAGTAAGTAAGTAAGTAAGTAAATAAATGAATAAATAAATGAAATGGGAGCAAGAACCACTCCTATTTCTAATTCCCTACCTGCTGAAGAGGAAAACTCAGGATCTAATCAGGAAGTTGCTGACCCAGAGCACCATATTAAATATTTAAATAAATTAAAAATGATAAGAAGAAAAACTCAACTGATCTCTAAGTTTGATGCTGTAGAAGACTTTAGAACTCTATTCGACCACATCCAGTTACCTAGTTAAGTGCCTGACTCTGACTAGTCACTTCTTAAGGACAGTACGGAGCCTGTGTGGGAAGATGAGATGCACTGCAGCAACAAAGTGACCTTTGGCTAGACTTTGGTGGTGC